ATATAATCAAAATTTAGTAAATCTCAACGGCTATCTTACTCCTTCCTTCTATTCACCTCATTTTGTAACCCCACCACCATCCAATCCGGACCAAGTCAAGACCGACGAAGCGCTTTTAAAATTCACAGAAGCTATTAATGGAATGATGATTCAGATGAAGGAAAACAAGGAACCCCCAGAAGGAGCTGGAATAATAACCCTCAGGGCCCCTGCCTCCGTTGTGGACAAAACAGACATTTCGCTCGAAACTGTTATAACCCTCCTCGAGGTGACGTTGACCGAAATGTCGCTACTGGCAGCAATGCCGTCCCACTTGGCCAACCCAATCGGCAAGTTAACCAGCTATTAAACCCCCCTAATAACAATGAAGCCCAACAGGCTATACAAACTCTCTTAAATTTTGTCAGGGCAGCTATTCCTGGAAATGAGACCCAAACTTTTTTAAACCTGCACGAAGTAGAAGATCCTGTCTTCATGACGGCTGTAGAGCCGTTGGTCAATAAGCACAATATTCAATCCAAAAGACGTCAAACTGAAACTTCCCCCTTGAAGAAGTGGTCGATCAAGACCAGCTAGTTGAGAATGCATCTCAACCTTTCTCACAAAAACGGAACAAAAAACCTTTGAAGTCGACTACCGTATGAAGAAAAAAACTGGAAGAAAACCCTCCACCTATAGCTGCCCTTGTACCTCCTTATTCTATTGTCACCGATATCAGAGATAAGCCTGCCAATATAACTTTCGGCCAGTTGCTCATGGCTATCTCTTCTATGCGCACCCAATTGGCAAAAGGGTTGCAACGAAAGAAAGTGGCTCAAAGAAAGCCCCGTGTCTTTGTTAATCTCCAACCCACCCCCAAATCGACGGCTCTTTACTGTGATGCCACGGTATACGGTGAAGTCATTCTCCTCATTATAGATAGTGGTTCATCTGGTAGTGTAGTTTCATCCCACCTTCTTGGTAAACTTGGCGTTAAGGTTGAAAGGCCTTCTACAGTCAACATGATAAATGTTCATGGTCAAAGCAAACGGGCCATAGGTGAAATTTCAAATTTTCCCTTCACGATAGGACGAGTCGAAGTTCCTATCAACGTAGTGGTGGGGTTACAAAATGAGGTGAATAGAAGGAAGGAGTAAGATAGCCGTTGAGATTTACTAAATTTTGATTATATGCATTTTCAAATGCTTTTGCTCTTTCATGAGCGACGGCGAGAGTATTTGGTAGGAAAGGAGCTACAGAGGCGGTGAGGTCAGGTCTTAGGCCACTGATAAATATCTGGGCCTTAGCGGTATCGGGATAATGATGTCCACCAGCTTCGACTCTTCGCAGGAGTTCTTCAACTGCCACATGATAGGTATCTACATCTTCATGGGGAAGTTGTTTCTGCTGCATCAATTGTGCGAACCATTTACTTTCTAAAGCTGGGGTCTGAAAATGGGCAATAAAAGTAGGTTTGAAACTTTGGGCTTGGTTCCTAGCATCATCCTATCTCTCAACAGGCTGTTGGAGGTTTCTAACACTAACCCACCAGGTGGCGGCAGTGCTTTTAGGTTTAGGAATGACAACAGGAATTTTACGATTGTCTTGGACTTGGTTCGCCTCGAACGCCTTTTCAACATCTTCCAACCACGTAATCAGATCCTGTTCCCCACCTGAGAACTCAGGGTACAAAACCAAATTGAGTTCACGGTTTTGAGCTGGGATATTTATTTGAGGTATATTAATCTGAGGGGCCGGCAGATTAATTTGGGGGGGCGGGAACTTGTCGCATTTGTACTACCAAGGCCGCAATCTGTTGGGTGAGATTATCCATGGGGTTGGGTTGGTTAGGTGGGTTCAGATTGGGGTTGTTGGGAGGCGGATTATTTGCATTGGGGTCGATAAGGAGGTTGTTGTTATTGTTACGATTGTTATTATTATTATTCCTGTGGGCCATATCATCAGTAATTTCTACTATGTGATTAACATCGTCTTCTGAAGTTTCACTAAAACAATATGTGTCTACAAAAGGATCCTTAAGAAACCTATCACTATCTTGATAAACGTTCAAAAATTCATTCAATATTGTTGGATAATCGTCAGATTGTTCAAAGTAGCGGAAGCTGAAGATAAACTTTCTTAATGAAGCGTCTGAAAATCCTCCTATGGGAAAGTCATAGAAAACGTCGAAACAAATTAAAGATATCTGTGAGAAAGAAAGAACCGGTTTAGCTAAGCTAAACCACTTCCAAAAATTAGTGAACTGAATCGAGTTGTTGTCATGAGGGGGAAAACAAACAATACAAAAGTCGTCTGGGTAATACTCTATCAGGTATTTAATTGCTGGACGACTTTTTCCAAAAGTATAATGATGTTGATCATGCTCGATACTGTTTCTGAAATGCTGTTCAAAATTATTCATCCATAGCGAATCTGAAGTACGTTGTTCTGATCCACACAACTGGCACCACTTGTTACTATCAGAATTGGGAGAGCATTAACTATCGGGGCCGAGGTTAGATCAGCAATAGTAAGGTGGTAGTAATAGGGTAGAGTAAAAGCGAGGTGAAATAAGGGAATTATAACGAAGGGAAGTCAGGGGGGTATTGATGATATAAACAATAAAGTAATGATATAGTAGTGATGTAAAGATGCGTCGAATAATATAATAAATAAATATAATAAATAATAAATAATTTGAGTGTCGTTCAATAGGTTAACAA